TTTGTGGCACCTCTAAACACAAGGCAGGTGCTGGGGCAGCCTCTGCTCAGGAGGACACAGGAGGATGGCTGGGTTGAGCTGTGGGATCCCAGAATGGTTTGGGTTGGAAGGGACCTCAAAGATTATCCTGTTCCACCCCCTGCCATGGGCAGGGACACCTTCCACTAGCCCAGCTTGCTCCAAGCCCCGTCCAACCCGGCCTTGTAGCTTAAACTGGATCTGGAGCAGTCACCTGTGAGATGTTCTGGAAAATATGTTATGCTCAGGAGTTGTAGGTGCAGGAAAGTCACAGTTCAGGGTTAACACGAGAGCAGTGGGCCTCTGCCAGTCCCTGGTGGTAAATCCAGGCCAGGTATCTGCTGCTGTGAGCCTTTGGCTGTGGGAGGGCTGGGCAGTGCTGGGGGGATGCTGTGCCCTTCCAGTCCCCCGCTCTGCCCACCCTCATCTCACTGGCAGTGACTTGTGACCTCGCTGAGCAGCCCCACCACCCTTCTCCTTGCACACTCCTCTGGCACCTCCTGGTGTGGCACAGCTGGAAACTTTTGGGGATTCCTCCATGGCTGGTCCTGCCCCTTTGGTAGGAGCCAGGTGATCGCCCGGCCTCGCTTATCCATCAGGAGATTCCCTGAGGATTTATGTGTTCAAGTGCTTTAGGAGTCAGAGCTGGCAGGTGTTGAAAATATCATCCTACTTTTATTGGTTTGGTTTTGTCCCTGTTTTTTGGGTTAACTGGAACTGTGTGCAGGGAGTGCTGGTTTTCCTTGGAGCCATCCTCATGCCCAGCAGTAGTTAGGGAGGAGCAGCGTTCCCTGGGCTCTTGGGTTAGTGGCACATCAGCCATGGCCCTGCAAAAAAACCTTCCTTCTCCCTAATCTTCCAAAACAAATCAGTCAGGGCTTTGCACAGCACTGAAATTTCCCAGGCTGCTTTCTCCAAGGATTTTGCCTCAGTCCCACATGGCAGACACGGGATGCCCGGGCAGCACTGGCTGGCTCTGGCTGCAGAACCGCTTGGCTGGAGCTCCCAACAGCAGGGCAAATACATTCCCTCAGGACTGCTCCTTTGTTCTGTCCTGCTGCAGGCCTGGGCTCAGTAATAATTAATTCCTTTGTTGCATGAACGTGGAGCGTTTCCTCTGGAAGGCTCAGGCAAACATCCCACTCCCTCAAGAATGGTAAACGTTTAAAAGCCAAGGACACAGGGTTAATCCTTGCTTTGGGTTGTGACCTCCCAGTGCTCCAAAGCCACCACTCTGTTGGGAGACAGAGTATGGGCACGGTCCCAGCCATGTTCCACAGGTCCATGCAGAGGGTTCACAGGAGCCCCAAGACCAGCCCAAGTCGGCCCTCACTTCCACATCCCAGTGGTTTCTATCACCTGATGCCGAGAGCTTTTGTCTGTAGGAACCAAGTTCTTGGGAGGGGAAATGGTTTGTTGGAGGCTCATTTAGAGGAGCCTGGACTGGGCTTCTCTGGCCTGCCCCTTGTCTGTGGTGTGGCCAGCAACAGAGACAGGCAAGTGGAAATTTCCTTCCCATCCCCAGTGCCTTGTGACAACATCATAAACCATCCCTGGCGTTCTTTACCCTGCTTACGAGAGAAAAAATCTCTATAAACGGCAATCCTTAATCACCCACCACAAACATGGGACGTTGCAGGCGATTGCTCAAGGCAGTGACACAGGGCAGGGACACCCTGGGGGGCTGGACTGATCCCTGTCTGGATGGTGGGCACATTCCTGCTGCTCCAGGTGAGCTGCACTGCAGGGACCTGCACTGGCATCGCTCGGGCAGCATCAGCTGTGCCCATCACTGGATATGTGTTATATTAATCTTATAATTAATACCCCAAAAATAATTTAAATCTGTATTCTTTCTGCCCAAGTTAAAATCCCTCCCAATGGAACTGGTTGTGCTGGGAGATGTGGGTTGTGGGACAGTGGTTCCAGCTCTCAGTTGTCCCTTATTCCCTCTGCCCTGGCTGAATCTGGTGTTCCAGGCAGTGATCCCTGCTGGGGTAAGGAGGATTTAGGGAGGGTTTAAGTGTTATGATCAATGCCAATTTTCAGAGCTGCTGGTGGATCCCTTGGGTCCCTTGCCAGCATCTTTTATTTGAGAGGAGTACAAGAGGGATACAGGCCCCCAGCTTTGGGAGTTCTGGGCAGGACCTGGGCTGAGGTTGAGGGAAACTTTGACTGACGGTTGTTACTCAGAGGGTGGGGAGGCCCTGGCACAGGTCACCCAGAGAAGCTGTGGCTGCCCCATCCCTGGAAGTGTCCCAGGCCAGGTTGGACAGGGCTTGGAGCAGCCTGGTCTAGTGGAAGCTGTCCCTGCCTATGGCAGGGGGTTGGAACTGTTTCTTAAAGGTCCCTTTCCACCCAAGCCAGTCTGTGATTCTGGGATAGCTGCCCCTGCCATTTCCCAGCGTGCTGCTGGATCCGTGTGCCCGATGCCATGGCCCTTCTGGCAGGTGCTGCCTCTTGGCAGGGCAGGCGGGTGAGGAGGCCAGCTGGGCTGCACACGGGGCTCTGCATGA